AAGTGATAATCTGCATAAAGCTGAGTCTGACTGTATTTTGTCTTGTCAGCCAGAACATTTGTCACTTGTGAATCAGTACAATTTGTGAATATTGTCCTGCGGGTTGAAACGCTGTCAGTCATTGGTGAATATACGACATTACTCCGGTGGATCATAACACAGCTTCGATAAGCGGTTTCTTTGAATCTATCCAGACCGGTCTTTTGCCAGTTTCAGTTCACAATCCCTGAGTTAATGAGTTTTTCTGGACAGACCGAATCATGATTCTCTTTCAACGTCTATTCGCGTCTGTGTTTCTCTAACCAACGCAATCGATCCTTGTGGCCAGTCGTCATATGTTACTATACCGGGCCGTATGATGTCCCGATTTTCTAGTGTTTGTTTAGGTTTTAACCATTTTATTGCCACGATGTGTTCCTTCTTCAAATAAGTCGAGTATTGTTGGATTTGTCCTCTACTATCGGCTCTTAATACAGCTTGTAACATACTATAAAAACGTATGGATCTTTTGCATGGAATCAATCCAGGAGATCCACGGTGTAGACCCTAAGAGGTGTTCACAAGTTTACAAACCGTGGAGCAAACACGAGCGTTGCATGTGAAGTTTTTTTTAATTGTAAATTCACGTCAAACTCCCAGAAAATTATGTTATTGCACGGTGATGTTAATAAGATTTTTCTGAACTGTAATGTAAACAATTAATTATTCTAGAAGATAGTTAAACTCATATTACGCCAAACTTTAAACTGTCGTTACCATTTTATCCATTTACCTGCTTGCCCACTTACTCGCTGTCTCACTCATTCATTCGCTGATTTCGAAAGACTATCGGCCTAATGGATTGACTGACTGAAAAGATTTTCCCAGAGACAACGTTGGATTTCACACAAGCTGTATTGATTTCCCGACTACCAGACGCCCATAGGAGACAACGTGATCGGATATCGTGTACTGTAATTATTATAATATATTAAGGTCAAGCATTTTTAATTATTCATCTAGCTGTCTTCACGACCCACTATTCATTCGTGGTTGCAGGCGCAACAGCTTCAGGATATTTTTTTTCAATATTCTCGGTACCGTTTTAATGGCATAAGTGATACAGGGCTGGATTCCTTGGCAATGCCAGTCTTTTGATATACCTGTCGCTGTCGTGTGATCTTGTGAAGGAGGAGCTATATATATAGTTTAACGTACTTTTTTTTCAGAGACGGCGTCTGGGCAGTTCTTATTGGACAGTGGTACGAAAACATACCTCCGTTGATCATGCACGAAATTCGCGAGCTGGAAATGTGGATATTGAAGTTACTTAGCGCTCCGGTCCCAGTGCCTGATCGGACGCGTGTCGAGGTAAGCTCCGGCAGTGAAGTGTCTTAGGTAAAAATGGCGACAGATAAAGTAGAACAGAGCAGAGTTAAAGAAGATGCGTGATTCCATTCGATTACAAACAATGGTTGTTAAACTAGCACTGATATTTAGTTGTTATTTCATTTATGTCACAG